AAAACACCCAGATGTCCTGGAAGTCTTGGAAATTTCGTGGTGCACAAAACCAGCAACAAGTTCTCTGGCATGGCAATTGACCAGTCCCATGAGCAGAACAATGCAATGGTGAAAGGTTCTGGTGGGGCTATTGGACTGACTGGCAATCCAGGAGCACTCAGACGCTGGATGGTAGCAGAGCCAGAAATTGCCAGGATCACTACAGAGTTTGAGTAACGGGCCATAAAGCAACAGCATGGTATTAGTAGGGCTGTCACGGTTGAGGAATTCCCCCTGCGGTGAGTCAGGGCGGCCCAATATCGCGGTGTGCGATATTATTGCACCATCTTTTTTTTTTTTTTTTTATCTATCTATCTAGCAAATTCATTTGTTAATTACTAAATTACTAAACTCATTGCAATATTTCCTCTGAAACATGGCGCCTACACATTTAAAAACGGTTATAAAAAAAGACATGGCAATTTTATAACACTTTTTATTTTATTGAATGCAGATTATTAACAGCACCTGTTAGGCGTTTATGTCTGTCACTGTCTCTGCTGTACTTGCCGACTCGAGCAAAGGCTTCGCCGACTCCAAGCTGTCGGCTGGCTCCGGCATGAGCTGCTCCGCGACTCTGTGTGGCAGGAGGCGGCGGCAGCCGCGCCGCGGTAGCTGGATGGTAGCTTGCTAGGTGAGCCCTTAAATTCGTTGTGTTTCCTCGTTTTACTTGAACCGTTTTGCCGCAGATTTTACAGATTGCCTCATTTAAATTGGCTGGCTCCCCCTTTTCATTTGGCTGAAAGCCGAAATGCTCCCAAAGAGGCGAAGTAATATTTTGTTTTGATACCAGCGCAACCGCCATCGTGGTGAGATCAGGTCAATTGCGGTGATGGCGGTGGCCCAGAAAGCAGCGCGGTGGGATTCTTAATATCGCGATATTTCATTTTTGCGGTTACCGCGACAGCCCTAGGTATTAGTGACACTGGACACCATCACCATGACCAGCAACCTGGAGTGCAAGCAGCATTCCTGAAGGAGGTTAAGGCACTTGTGACAGTGCTGGAAGAGATGGGGAATCAATTTCTAGAACACAGCCAAGACCTACTAGTCATTGACACAAGGGACATCATGGACACCCAAGTGGCTGAAACTGTGAGAAGGATTGAGACCCTTGGTGAGGAGCAGTACACCAAGTTTGTGACAGAAAGGCTAGAACAGTGTACAACACATGTCACACAAACACTTCAAAATAACAAGGCTTTTTGAGGCTGTACATCTCCTGTCAAACACGAGATGGAGGCATCGACAATTTCTTCTCACATGAAAACTAGGCAGCCCCGCCAGCTCAACTGGAGGAAGATCTACTTTACCAAGCTAAAATAAATGTATTAGCAAAAGAATGTCCAAAAGTAGTTTGACCTTGACCTAAATGCATTTCCTTGAAATCTGGCGAACTCGGCATCACCAAATGAATGGGCATCCCAAATTTAGTTGGAAATGATACCTTATATGTTTTTCCTCACTGTTGGGTTCCAAAATTTAGCGTGTTTGAACATTAGACTTCCCTCCACATCTGAAAATAAACATGATGGTATATACTAACTATGCTAGAAATGTCATGGTTTTCTCATAAAATACACAATTGTTGTGGTTATCCCCTAGACTAATGGAAACAAATTGAATGTACTATGTGCGTAAAGTGATGACACCGGCAACGACTGCAGCCAGGCGTTAAACAGCTTAGCGAGGGCTGGGAAACTCCTGCAATATCTTCTACCTCCTACCTTAGGACTACGTCGATTGTATCATTAAAACTCATGTTACTTCCCGGGGGGAAATTGTATTTGTATAAGTTGGTCAAAAGCATTAACTGGTGATGTTTACAATTTCTTTCTGGTGATTTTCATATTCACTCTACCTATTGCTGTGCATACGCATGGTCAAACCCTGTGCGTACATTTTCTCCTATACGCACATTTTCTAGCCAAGATCAAATTGATAAATCCCACATTTTGGCGAAAAACTGCGTAGGCATGATTTACGCACAGATTTCTTTGTATGCAACTTTGATTAATGAGGGCACTTTCTAAAAGAGATAATGTCCCCTTCTCTAATGGCTAAAAAGGCAAAATAAAAGTACCACCCTCCCTAACCACGCAAGGAGATCATTCCACTTGCTTTTCTCCGCAATGCAAATGCACCTCTTTAACGGTCCACACCTTGGTCCTGTACGTTAGATTAGATTTGTTGTTTTGAATTTCCAAGCTTGCTCTTTTTCGCAGAAAGTCTCTGTTGTCAAATGCCGAGAACTTCACCATATACATCAAGAATTTCATCCAATTTCCCAAATTTGACTTTGCAAAGTAAGTCAAACCACGTCCCCAAAGCAAGACAAAAAAGTTCAATCAAGTGTACCTAATCCGGCCCTGTTTTATTCAATCTTTTATATATCTTTCAGATCCAATGTTCATGAAACTACAAACAAGTCATATCTAAAGGAATGTCAGTTTAGCGATGAGCACAACCTCTACTGTCCCATACTCCGCCTGGGGAACATTACTAAAAGAGCTGGGTACAACTTTCAGGACATGGCTTCACGGGTATGTTTAGCTCTTGCTCAGATACTTCTCAAGAAATAAAATGCCATGACAATGTACAACTTAGCAGTTTTTACACTTGAACCTATACATACTTGTACCCATATCATGTGTTTAGTACTTTACTAATCACGATTGTAAATTACTTGTTCTAACATAGTCAAGGAAATAGATTTTCTGTTGTTTACTCTTTCTTCATATGAGGAAAATGCATAAACTGTAATTGGGTAAACCCTTATTCACTTTATAACTGTTTTCAAAGTGCTGATTGCCTTTTTTGTATTTTGCACTATTATCTTTTTAAAAATAACCTTCATATAATGTATATGTTACTGTTGGAAATTGTGGCATGACAATGAAAACAAGGAAAGGGATAATGAAAATTACATTTGTAGTTTTTTGTCATTTCACCTTTTTTCTAGGGCGGCTCAATCGGTATTATGATTGAGTGGAACTGTGACCTTGACCGAGGCTATTCAAACTGCCATCCGCAATATCGCTTTCGGCGCCTGGATATCACTATCTCCAACACATCCATCGCGTCTGGCTACAACTTCAGGTGACCTTTTTAAAGGTCACTTTAAAATCTTTACATTGGACATATGACCTTGACCTTGACATTCTTGTCATTGTGATGCTCCCTCCCTACACAGACACACCCAGTATTTCCGAAGCAACGCTGGGGAACGCAGCAGAACACTGTTCAAAGTCTACGGTATACGGTTTAGCATCATGGTGCATGGCAAGGTGGGTCAAATGGTCTTGAAGCTACTTTTGGCTAGCAAATAAGGATTCACTTGAATTTAACATTTGCATTTTTGTCTGACCTCGATAGGCTCGAAAGTTTAGTATTATCCCAACAATGATAAACATAGCCTCGGGTCTGGCTATGATGGGTGCTGTAAGTATTATTTATTTCTATTATTCCATTTGTATACATTTAACTATTTATTTTCTATTTAACTGTTTATTTAACTATTCATACTCATGGGTCATATTCTAGGCTAGTGCTTCACGATAATTACAGAGTATATAATGTGATGTCACTGTTTCTTGTCAGTAGTTGACTCAGATCTAGTATGCCAAGGGAACTTCCCTCGCTGATAAAGCTCCCTTCCGGGCCATATTGGGGGGCAGGATAGGAGTGGTTAGGCTTGGTTTGTCTTCCAGCCGAAAGGTTCTGGTTTCGAACCCCAATGTACACCGTCTACCTGTAAGCGTCCTTGAGCAAGATGCCTCACTCCTATATTTAAAAGCAACATAGGTTACCATCAAAGTGATGATATAGTACTTAATTCATGTTTTGTTCTTTGACAGGGATCCTTCTTCTGTGACATAGTCCTTCTCCATCTGATGAAAGAGAGAACAACTTACAGGGAGAGGAAATTTGAAGGAACACGGTAGGATGACAGAGAAATTAAATAATAAACCTATTTTAACACATTGTAATTCAGAATGTGGCCAGGTGATCTGCCTGTCTGTCTACTAGTTGTTATGAAGTGTTTCTTCTTCTTTCTTCTTTCTTCATCTTCTTTCGACAGCAGTAAGAAGTCAGCAATCAGCACAACGACAGAAATGGTTGAAGAGGGCCTTGAGAACCGCTAAAATCTCACCGTCGGAACAGACTTGGGAGTACAGCTAATGCTACCCATACATCAGAAAAGATTTGGAAAAGACTATTGGAAAACTATCAGCTCACACCTGCTCACATCTAAAGACAAGTGTTTAGAGATTTTAGTCACAGCCTAGTCTCAGACTGAGATTTTACAAAGACTGAATCTTGCAGGGTCACTATTTATAAGACCACAACTAGATTATTTTATTATTTTTTCCCACCATGCAATTTTTTCCCATCATGCCCTTAGTAGAAACTGTTGTTCTTCTTGTTCTGACTGTCAGGTTTCCTGTTTCCGCTTTTGTCAGAGCTCATCTATTGGTTGTTGATTGTGTTACGTCACTGCGACTTGCGATAATATCAAACACGTTTGATATTATCGCAAGCCCAAGACTAGGAAAAGACTGATCTGAAACGGCGCAGATTACTACCTTAAACTTAACGATCGAGATGATGGGAGCGTGCTGTGACTCCAGTAAAACTCCTAGATCTACTAAAGACTTTCAGTTTTTAGTCTGGGACTGTGAAAATCTTTGGTGTAAGCCCAGCATAAGCCTTCTACATTTGCCTTATATTATATATTTTGTGGCAGTAGACCCTTAATACCCGTAGCCTCCCAAAAAATTGAAAGAGGTAAGATCCACTATCATTGACCCACTAACTTATATTTTTGCGACTTCCCTAGCAACTGGTGATGTTCCCAGAGACTTAAAGGTTGCAAGGGTCATTTTTCTTTTTTTAAGATTTTTTTTTTGACAGCTGAAGAGTGACAGGAATGTGGGGAGAGAGAGAGATGGGGAATGACATGCGGGAAAGAGCCACATGTCAGATTTGAACCCTGGGCTTCCGCAGCAAGGACTGAGCCTTTGCACATGGGGCGGCTGCTCTACCGACTGAGCTAAACGCCGCCCCGTAATCCCTCTTTTTAAATCAGATGACGCAAGCTTCATTACAAACTACCATCCAATTTCAATGCTACCATGTTTCTCAAAGATTCTCAAGAAGCTGGTATATAAAAGAATCCGCCAACATCTAAATTCAAATAATATATTATATGACCACCAATATGGCGTCCGCAAAAATCACTTTGCATACATGGTGCTTGTAGAACTCAATTGAAAAAAATCTCCACTGCATTAGACAAAAATGAGTATGCTATAGGAATCTTTCTGGACCTTTCTAAAGCTTTTGACACAGTGAATCATGATCTTTTACTGTTAAAGTTATATAGATATGGGTTCCAAGGAAAGGTGTTCAACTGGCTAAATAATTATGTTATTGACAGAGAGCAATTTCTTTGCTAAAAAAACTGAGTCCAATAGCCGCACTACCATGTGGATTACCTCAATGATCCATTCTTGGTCCATTATTATTTCTTATTTATATTAATGATCTTGCTGTAGTATCAAATACTATATTCCCTATTCTACTGGCAGATGACACAAATCTTGCTCTTTGCCACAAACATTTCAAAACCCTTATCAGTGAGGCAAACCTCGGTCTACTCGCCTATTCTACATGGTTCCAACTGAACAAATTATCACTAAATATCAAAAAATCTAATTTCATTATATTTTCAGGGAGGACAAAGTGTAATAAAAATGAAGCTAAGCTCTTTATTGAGGGCAAAGAAATTGATAGGGTATCATCCACTAGATTTTTGGGGGTGATAATCGATGAAAAACGTTGGAAAGAGCAAATTGATTGTGTGTAAACAAGTGATGAAATCTGTAGGAATTATTAGGAAAATATGTCCACTTGTCAATAAGTCTTGCCTTCTAACCTTATACTGCTTAATATATACAGCTTAATATATCCATATCTTACCTACTGCAATGTTGTATGGGCCAGTACATATCCCACATATCTCCATAAACTCCATAAAATTCAGAAAAGGTTTGTTAGGCTAGCTACATTTTCAAAGTCCAGGGAACCATCTGCATCTGTATTTTATAAACTTTAAAACGTTAAAACTATTGACAATTGTTGATATAAACATCCTACAAACATGCATTTTTTACAAGGTGAGATTTCAGGACAGCTATTTCCTACATTCATTCTTACCCAACAAGACAATCAAATAATCTACATCTCCCTTTCTATCATACCCACAGGGGGCAGTATTCAATTAAATATAGAGGTGTAAAACTATGGAACGCCAACCTACACCTGGTAGATATCTCGCCCTCACTACCTGTTTTTAAAAGAAAATAAAGAGAGGTGTTAATAAGCACCCAGACGGGAAAAATTGTAGCCTAATTGTAGTGTATCTTTTTACTTTTTCTTTTGTCTTTTTGGTTGAAATTAGTCTTTTAAATTCTTACACTTCTTCCTCTACTTATATTTGTTTGTTTGTTTTCATTTATTTGTTTATTTCTCTTGTTTTAAATCTTTAAGTTGTGGTGAGGTTTTAAGATAAGCCCTAGATGGTTTTCATACCTCACCTGCACATCAACTTTATAAACAAACTGTATTTGAAATGTTTTTGTGTGTGCAAATAAAATCAAATCAAGTGGCTTTGGTGGGCTCCTCCGACACACAAGTAAATGTTGTACACCAGTTTATTGGAGAGTTGGCGAGATGTTACAAGCCAGAGCAGATGGAACATGCCGTCATGACAGAGGCTCTCTCTTGAGTGTGTGTGGTTACTCCCAGTGTGCTCGATTACTCCCATGCACCACCGGTGTGCAGCCTCACCGTGAATATCCACTATACACAAATTATCCGTGTGACATCGCGCGGCCTTGAAAACTCGTTTGCGGGGGGCATGTTGACTAGTGGATCAACTAGCTCCCGCCCGCATTGTGGTAATGAATCAGAAGGGTCAACGTCACGGCCCACGCCCACGTCCTGTTTGCTGACTGGTGACCGCGTGGATTCGCGCCGCTCGTATTTGCATAAAGTTGAAATTTCCCAACTTTATGCAACTTTAACTTTACGCGCCGCAAGCAATCCCAGCGTGCTTTGTGCAGCGAATTGCTCGCGTCCCATAGAAAGTCAATGGAGGCGGCAAATCGCGCGTGATAATTCGTATATAGTGGATATTCACGGTGACCGTGAATATCCACTATACGCGAATTATCCGCGTGACTGGTGACAGCGTGGATTCGCACCGCTCGTATTTGCATAAAGTTGAAATTTCCCAACGTTATGCAAATTCAGAAGCGGAGCCAGGCCGCCCCGCAGCTGGCTCCGCGCCGCAATTAATCCCACCCGGCCCCAGAGCCTAATCAAACTGACTTGAGTCAGGTGCGGCTGCTTAAACCAGCTATCAACCACACACACTCCACGTATGTCTATTTGTTTGTTGTAATTGTCATAGTAGGGGGACAAATCCGACAACAGACCAAGCTGTAATTCTTTAAATAATGTAAATGAACCTACAAAGGTCACATAAGCATTAAGACTTTCCTTTTGTTATTCCAGTTATTGTGGCTGCTGAAATCACATGAAAGCCTTGAAATTAATTTACTTGAAAAGCTAGTAAGATATGATATTTCATGCCATTGTAAATGGTTTCATGTAAAAGGTGTTGTCAATTACAGTAGAGCCTAAATTAATCTTAAGAAGCAAGAGTTTGCTACATGCAAGCTTGTTTAAACTGTGGATACACCGAATACATAACCAGGATACCTTTTTTGTTTTTAGCAATTCTGTATTGTAACTCTGAGGATTCAATATCATAAAGTATGACACTGTCATTATTTTTTATTCCATGCAATTATTAACTGCCATCACAAAATGAAAGATGAAGGTGGATGAACTGCTCCTAAGCATCCACTTGGTGTTTAGGCTTTGTGATGCCTGATGATATTAAACAAAATAAATAACCCAATAAAACATTAATCAAAGGCTGAAATATCAGATAATTATGATTTTTGCCAATCAGACAAGACAGTCTTTCAGGGTCACTGTGATACATTGCCATATGAACAGAACAGACAGGGCATAAACACATTAAACAACATTCTTTATTTATTTTATGTTGAACCCTTATTTAACCAGGTTGTTCACAGTCAACCGATGGATGTCAACCTGGCTTACATTAAAAGGCAGTGTAATGTACATGTATATGTCGTCTCAATTGTGAGGAATTGCAATTACACTGATTTGCCACCAGGAAGAGACAAAACTCAATATCACTATAAACAGAATATATTATTATAGACACATACAGCACATATGTGCTGTATGTGTATCATACAAACGTTCATACACTGATGGTGGTGTATGAACGAGCCACTGCCGCCCAGGTATATAATGTCAGGTGGAATATTTATTTTTTAGGGTTTTATTAGGCATTTGGTATTTCTTTTTACTTGAGTGAAACATTTAATTAATTCCAATGAATTAATAACATGCATGTGCATATTTATCACACATGACACAATTACTACCTCAAAATATATAATGAGGCTGAAACACTATTTGAGGTCATTGTATGTATCTTTATGTCTGAGTAAAAACAGCTTCATTAAAAAAAAAAAAAAATCTAATGTAATTTCAGGGACAGCAGTCTACTTTTTTTATCAGCAGTCTATTTTTCTATCAGAAGGTGGTTATACCAATTAAAGCACAGAAAACATGTTCACTTCATAGGGGATATTAAAATGTTCATCAGGTTGTTCTATAGTCGGGTGCTGGGAGGAATGTTGTCTCACCAGTTGAACAACAAGCACCATTTGACTAAAACAGCCACAGATTACTGGAAGGAATTTGAGGTGTATACATGTTGGAAAAACCCATGATGGTTTAGCTTCCTGAAATAGAACATGAAAAAAGTATTATTATTATTATTATTATAGTAAGTATTTCACACAGGTGTCATTTACATTAGTCGCTAGATGCTCTGTGCATCACGTAGCCTAACATTAAACATTAGCCTACATATAGCCTACAGTCGGATATGAGGCTAAACAATTAGGCCTACACAATGGAATTTGTTTTTGCATCTGTAGAACAATGCATTGCCAGTAAACTCAAAAGTGAAACAAATCAAGCATGGTATGACAGAAACAAAGAGAAGTGGACCAACCGGCTTTAGCTGGACATGTGCAGTATAAAAGCAGGTCTGGCTGCATATCTGCTCCTCACACACACACCGGCAACATGAAGGTCTTTCTGCTCGTTGTGCTGGTCGCACTGATGTGTAGCACTCAGGGTAAGTTGTCTCCTTTGGATTCATTACTGACTAAATATCCTATGACATTTATCTCACATTTTCTTTAGTGAGTTCAAGTAGGCTTCTTTCATCGCTGACACGATTTGCTTAAATCATTGGTCTATTACAATTAGGCTATCCGGATATAACCACAATACCACCGAAAAGGATATTCTATGGACAGACTATTTTTTTTCGATGTGTCGTTGCCCTTCCTTAATCCCTCTATAATATTAATTGCACCTTGGCAGAATGAGCAACAGATGGTAACTATTAACCTTTCGCCTTTTCATTGTTTTCTTCTCCTTAGTGCACACACTCAAATGTTTTGTCTGTGTAACTGAAGAAGGCTGCAAGAACACCCCCACAAAATGCGCCCCGTCTGAATTCTTCTGCAAAACTCTTTGGAATGGTGACTATACATACTATTTATTAATTTGTCAATAAGTTATTATTTTAATTTCATTTTTTTCCTTTCTGAAGATTCTGAAGATGGAAAATACATACATACATACATACATACATACATACATACATACATACATACATACATACATACATAAATACATACGCAAGCATACACACCCATGAAGCATTACATATCAACATGTGTTTTCTTCCTTGTTGGAACAGAAACCACCGGAGAGGTGCGCAGAAGCTGTGAGGCTGAGTGCAAAAATGGGCCGGAAAATGAATGCTGCCAAGAAGACGGTTGCAACCAATAATGTTCTCTTCCATCTTTACTCTT